CCAGCGATCTGCCAAAACCTCCTTTTGCATTAAAATAAGGAGGAAATAAAGCTGAAGTGCGGCAGCTGGTAAGACGTCAGACGAGTCTTGGTGATTTATGCTCCAGACACGAATCTGCAGCTTCTGTAGTAGCTTTAGCAGACGAAACCGATCTGCGCTCGGACGGGAAGACCATTGGCTAATGGTGAAAGTTAGCACTTTGTCGAGGGAATTAATAAGTAGACAGTTGATGTGAGGCTACTAACACTTTGTAGACATGTCAGTTATTGTAGCATACAGTTTTTATTATCGTCTTTACCAGTAGAATTTTAAATAAAGGAATCAATGATTTTAAGCATCCAAATCCCTCGAATTTCAATGGACATGCTATGGACCGGGCTGTACCGAAACTGCCACGACGTTTTATGATCATAATCCATACCGAAACTGCCACGCCAATTAGTGAAGATTATAAGGGTGTTTATGAGAATGCTAGAAACACTGAAACTGCCACGGCGGATTCCTCAGGTAGGGGAGGTTGGTTTGGCAACGTGCAGGGAGAAACGGGAATGAGAATATCCCTCACTCATCACAGTGACGATTTTGAAACACAACACTTTACTTTGCTCATAATTTAGTTAAATGCTTTTCATGTCGCTACTTAAAAGAGGCCATATTAACTTTGTACTTATTTAAATCAAGTGTCAATAGAAAAAGTCATTTAACTACCGATGAACTCAGAAATAATTAGATAATATGTTCTAAAGGATTAAGATTGCAATTGAATGTAAAATGTTTCTTACTAAATGTATTATATTAATGCTCTTAATCCGTTATAGTGAATTACTGGCGTTAAAGAACTCGATAAACACATATTTTATCATTAGATTTGAAGTTTTCAGTTAAGAAATATACCAAGGTGTATTCAGGCATCGTCAAAATTGCACAATAAGAAACATAATCTAATGCAAATAATAGCACAACAGGATACGTGTCCTGAAGTATAAATAAAACACAATTGTGATAAATTTGTTGATCATATTTGGCGAATTTATTGATTTCATCCTATACTATCAATACTTTGCAAAAAAAAAACACTTTTTAACCTCGCCGTAGCAGTACCGGTAAACCCTAGGTGTTTGTTAAATCTAATGTTATTTAAATGGGGAATAATTATGTCTTGTTTATGGACAATTTTAGTAAGAATCCAATCAAACAAATTGAAATTCACTTAGTGTGCAGGTTTGCTGCGGGCTGCGGTGGAGGTAATGTATTCAGAAATGAGCTGGGAATACCATGAAAACATGTTTTTCAGTAATGAGTTGGAAATACTGCGCGCACTGCGTTCCAATTGTCTTAGGAATTGGCGTCGAAGTATGAGATCCTTTGTGATGACTAGAATACACAGAATTGAGTTCGAGTCTGTCCAGATTTTGTTTAGTACGAAATACAAATAAAATACAAGACTAGACCAAGAAATATACAGATACAATTATACTTGTATACATAAGCCGAATAATGTGCAGGTTTACATTAATAATACCAGATAAAAACTTCATAATTGATAAGTATACATTTTAGATACGGTTGATAAAAAATAAATCTTAATTAGCCTAGGCTACTTGTAGTGATAATTCAGGGTCACTGCCAACCTAAAAACCGGGATAGCACGTGAATTTTAACTAACAGGAAAAAGTCCATGAGTTGTTATTGAATTTAGTAAGAAACCGGGAAATAAAAATGGTCAAATATTTGCCGTAAAATCCACCCGAAAACACTGAGTTTACACGTTTTGCGTAATCGAAAAACGCCATTGCGAGAAACTACTGTAGAAATGACCACGAGTATTGGCGCAATATCGATAAATCATCACACACTAAGCCGCAAGTGCAAGATGATCGTTAATTTTTCGTCGATCGCAAAAAATAGTTACGGGTGTTAAAATAATCGCTGGAGATGAATGCGAATGTTGCCGCAATTGTGAAATCATCACCGGTCATCATCATTGCGGTCGTACCATCACAGTTATTTCTGTGTTTGATCATGTTTGATCGAGAAATTGTCACGGATTTGGCCACAATCGTAACATACGATCACAGATGTTCGTTAAAGTTTCTTACCACGATTCTCCATTTTTAGGCGTTTCCGTGATAGCCAGTAATAATCTCGGTCGTTTCTATGATCACAGAAAATTGTCACGGATGTTACGCCTGGTGGGAAATCAACACGAATTTGCTTCCCATTTTCTCATGTTTAATTAGAATGAAATGAGACTCGGTGTATGTTTTTGCATACTTATTTAGTAATATACCTCAATTATAAATTTTGTTTATTCACATATACAGGGCTGGGCAAAAGTATGGACATCACCAGTTAACTTTTTAATGGGTTACGCCAAGAAAACAAAACTCTGAACACGTCTCTATATCACGCAAGTGAACTTTTTGTTGTATTCAAATTTTGTTCTTAAACCCAAAATGGGTTATTTTGGTGGCCCCATCGAGTGACACCTCATATTAATAGGCCATTAGTCGAAGAAATATATATCGAAGAAAGAATATCGACAAAAGCTAGAGGTATCTATCTAAACTCAACCCACTACAGTGACTGAAGAATGGTACGCGTTAAAATCGATTCAGTTACTGTTACTCGTTGTTATATATAATCTGTGAATCATTTTGCTCGACATCCTCCCCGATTTTTTCTCTAGCAAAACCACTAATTAACACCACACTTTGTATAACAAAACGGTAGCCGTCTACTAACAACGCCGCACCCCTTCTCTTCGTTTCAAATATCTTATCCTCCATCGAAAGACTATCAACTAAGTATAATAACTAACACACCAACACCCTTACTACTAACTCTCTGAAGGATGGCACAAAACTGTTGAGAAATACCGAATTTGAAAAATATTACATGAGTCAAGCTAATAGGAGGGCATTCCACTGAGATTCCACGTGAACGCCCCTCTGCAGACCATGGTTGGGTACAGTATTTGTAGTTCTGCAACCTAGCGTCTTGGGCGAATAAAACTATTTTTGAATATTACAGTTTTACAGTATTATATTAGTATTTGATCCCCTCTAGTGTAATTAAAAGCGTCGAACAGATCATTTAAAATTCAGTGTTATATAAGTGGTAAATGAACATAAAACTTGTTTCTTAGTGGTAAATAATTATTCATTAAAGTAAATATATTCTCAAGAGACGGAATAAATACTTATAAAGTAAGTACTCTAACAGTCGCAACACTAAAAACTTAAATTAACATAAAATTAACTCCTAAAATATAAATACGAAAGCGCAAATCAATCACTTATTTTTCCAATCAACGTATTATTGTGAAAGAAATAAAAAGGTTAAGACAGAAATGGGAATTTTAAGTCTCCCCTTTCTCCCCGTCTATCTGGGGAATCTGCCGTGGCAGTTTCAGTGTTTCTAGCCCTGTCAAAAACACCCTTATAATCCTCACTAATTGCCGTGGCAGTTTCAGTATGGAGCATGATCGTAAAACGTCGTGGCAGTTTCGGTGTCCCCATGGACCGTCTCCAAATTCCCACATTCCAAGACACCAACCCTAACTATACAGTGTAGATAGGAACACAGAATACTACTCCCATGTAGGTCGCAAATAGCTTATTAATTAACTCTCAAGAGCTTACATGTATATAAAGATAATCTTGGGAGACGAACTGGGCCATTTGTGTGACCTTGCCATTTTTGTGTGAAACGTTCTCTTCAAATGTTTGGATTGAATTTAGGCTGTTGTTAACTGCGGGAGGAGTTGCGTTTGAGATAACTAAAAGCATCTAAAATAGTTTTGATCAAAATATGGGTGCAAACTGCAAAGTCTTGATGAACCTTTCGCTCAGTATTGGCTAATTTTAAAGTCAATTTACCTACCTATTGGGATATCACAAAATGTCGTTTGAGTAAAATTTGATCACTTTCAAGATACCTAACAAAATAATAACCTTAAATATTTTTGCTGGAAACATAACTGCAAAGTATCAGTAGACTTTTAAAGACAACGGTCGGCATTTGTACAATAATTTAAGGTATTTCAAAAATTGCTGTAGATTAAGTATAGTTTGTGGTTCGCAATGGGTTGTGAGTACGGCGAGAAAAGTTTATTATTCATGGTTCTTTAGAAAAAGAGTCGGATCACTATTGTTTATAGAACTTCAATTGTCAATTGAGATGGGGACGCCACCTAGGTGTGTATTTTAACCCAAATATGAGAGTGTACAACTATTTGTCCATGGTAGAATGGAGTGACTAAGACCAGCTGTTTCATTAGTCGGGACCGTTTATTAAAAAGCCATAATCAAGGACTGAGTCAGTATCGAGCCTTAACAATTCAAATCTTAGTTTGATCACGAGAGAAAGTTTGCTCCAATAATCGATCGATCAAAAGTTTATACACAATGAACTCGACAAAATAATTAAGTTCTAACATATAACGTGCATATAACTGTCAGGGGGTTGAAATATTTTAAGAGTAACTTTTTTTAATTTATGCAATGTTAGCCTTCCAATATCACCAACTGAATCATCCTCTACCACGATTGGTATCACGAAATTGTTGTCAAAAAATTATTTAATTCCATCCATAGCTCAATGAGAGCAATAAGCGAAACTCATGTATAAGGTTTACCGGAAAGACAAATTGTTTGACCCAAGAAATTTCTTGGAGTGAAGTTTCACACTTGTGAAGTGCAGAGTTCGTTTCTCTTTTAGACCAGCTATGTTTGTGACGCAAACCAAATTTTTTCTTGACACCACACTACACAATTACCCAGACTCTCTGCAATGTTGTACCGCATTGTACACAAGAAATGTTTGGAAGCCACAAATCATGTACAATGTTTCGTTGTTTTGTTTCTGACATTGTTTATGGGATATTTTCGCCTCAAAGTTGGCAATGGCGGCGGGAGAGCGTGGCGCATACTGATCCATATGGCGCGCCGCGACACACAGTATTAATATGTATAACAGTGTGTCGATGCGTGTTTCAGATATCTTGGAGGCAGTGGCGATGAAGATGGTCGGCCGCACAATGGAGGCAGTGGGTAAGTCACGTGATCATTTTATCAACCCGCCGCCGAGGGTTTCTTGAATAACGCCACTTCATTTTGGGGGATTAACATTTCATCCGTGTCTGGGCTTCCTGTTGGGCGTGGGGCGTTGTCAGTCGTCTATCTATGGTCAATGTGGTATGGCGCTCTTACATATGGAGAACTCTTTTATGAACAGTAAGTTGTAAAAAAATTTAAAAAATTTTTTTTGTGATTGGTGATTGTATATACTGTATTATCTTGATGGTGGTGGGGTAGAAATGAATATAGTACAAGTGAATATCTACACTTATAATTTTTGATGGTTTACGTATAGACCCTAATATTTCGATTGAGGAACAGTTATAATCTGTTAAAGAATAATCATTACTGGACTCGGTTGCCATTTCCCATTGGATTATTTAAAAAAATGCTTTCTTACAATGTGTCGACATCAAACACTGTATTAAGAAGATCAGGGGTTGGATCTTTCACTAACAAAAAATGTAAAAATCACCCTAGACGTTAGACTTCACATAATACCGTTCAATCATAAATTTATTTTTATATCTTGCATGCCTTAACTTAAAAATAAATCGATAAAGTGTGAATTCATGTTTAGACCAACTTTTACTATATTTCTGCGTTGCTACACCAACTATTGAATAAACTTACATCTCAGTTTCAGGTAGATGACGTACTTTATACCAAATTCAAGGAATTCCTTATTTAGCTTCATCACTAACACAATATAATAATTGTCCAGCTATTTGCTTGAAATATAACACATTTTGTTTACTGTTTACATGACCTTTGTCGACCCTGAGACATATAGTGACCTCTCGTCTGGCTAATACATTAAGATTGACGGACTTCTGTCGGCAACAATTGACTCTTCTGCCAGCCTTGTCTGGTTAAACTGTTTGATTACAAATGAAAATTTTTATAGTCGAACTTTACGAAAAGTTCATTGTTACCTCAAAGATACAAGAAATTATTTCCTTTGCTAGTAGTAGCATAAAGCACAATTTCTCAACATTTTTTACCAATAAAATACGCAATTAAGGCATGTTCACATATAGTGTTTGTTTGTTTCAAAGTTAATACAGGGGTTTACCCTCTTCGTGATTTGTATTAATCGTTACTAGAGGAAGTCCAGTGGTTGAAAACTCGACCCAAAAATATTTAATGTACAGTCTTCTATATTCTCACCCCACGCTGTAAATAAAACATGTGATTGCAATTTCTTCAATTTGTTTTGATATTCTGTTTATATTTCGTTGTTATTTCGTCACCAGCATGGCAACCCATTAGGCCTACTACAATTTTTTTAGACTTCAAACTCATATTTTGTGCTTATTTTTAAGCCTATCAAGGGGGTTCTGCACATCTAAAGGAAAATATCTTTCTAATAGTATGCGTAGACTTTTCCTGCATGCACACGAGCTGAGAAAAAAGGTTTTCAAGAAACATGCTTGCCTATTAATATATAGATATTCAAAATATCAAGTGTAATTACGACCTTTTGGCACCTGGAAGTGATTAGGCATTACTGGCAAAATATGGTACGCACTTTGTTGAATTTCACAGTATTCGACAGTCCTAGTGATAGATTAGGTTAGCCTCTGCGGTTACTTGATCTGATGCTAGTGGTTTATACGATTCTACCCGGCCTAGGGGTCCATAAAACATCGTGTGTACGTGCCTCCCTTAGTAAGTACTGACTGAACTTCTTGAATTAAGAAACAGGATTGATGTTGCTTCTCTAACAAATTATACTAGAAGCACTCTTCGACGCTATTGAAGAACTAGCATATCATCTTGGTTTATACCACAGTATGATTTCTGTGTTTATACAGAGTCGGGGTCAATAAACGACGCTTTCAAGCTGCCATACAACACTGTTTCACAAACTACTTTATTTGATGTGTCATTTGTAAGTTTATACAACACCAAGCTTAATCTTAAAATCGGTTGTGGAATTTTAGGGCGCTAAACGAATAATTTTTGAAATACAGTGTATATGTCCAAAATTCTGATAGCTTACTTACAACCCGTTTATTTCATATTATGCATGAATAAACGGTACCAGCAATCTGACACATACTTTCTCCCATTAGCTTGTCAACAACCCTTATTATCATGAACAAGTGGCGGGAGTAACTGATATTTTATGGTGAAAGACACAAAAGTTGCAATAACTTTTGAACCGAAATTTTGATAAAATCTTCTGTTTTGTAGGTATAAAACAGAACCAAAAGAACCCTGGGCCGTTTCGAGCCGCGCAGGTTTGAATGGTACGCCACACCTACCTGCGCGAACCACGTGATCTTTTCGTTTCTGCGCAGGTTGTTTTGTTCTTGGGATATCTATAAAAGCGCCAATACAATATCCAATAGTCAATGCTATAACCATAGACTAAGCAAGGCTAAATAATTTTTTACCGTAATTTTACAGTAATGAAGGTTGTACCGTTTTGTTAAAGATGACAGAGCTATAATATGAAAAACTTTAACCAATACAGTACGAGCCATTTTTGTTAAAATTAGTTTTTTCCGTTATTTTAAGGGGTTTTATGGAAAATTCACCATTGAAAATCAAAATTTTAAACAAAATGAAGAAAACGCTTGGATATCCCATGGATTAGTACCCACATAACAATTTTCATCAAAATACGCCTGACCATGAAGATCTTTGTTGTTTCTCGGGCCTACATTAAAAACAAAACATTCTACAGTTGAATCAGTGAGATTTCCAGACATTGCCCCGCTTTAATAGCAAAAAGCGAATAGAACCGTCGCGTTCCTCTACCAAAGGAACGATTGAAACACAAGTTTATTTTCGCTCGACAAACCACATAATGGTCGTTTGTAACAATGGCCTATAAATCGGCGAGTCAACAGGCCATATGTCCCACGTGGCAATGTGTGAGTGTCTCGGTGTAGAACAGTGTGTGTAGGAGATACAATTGAGCCATCACAATCTTTAAATCACACCAAGTTATACGTGTAAGAAACAACCTGATTGTATAATTTGCATCGAAAGGTGTAGACTACAATCTTCCACAAAAACTGTTCATCTACAACACTACATGAGTGACGTCATGAACGTACATGAGGTCAATGATAAATCCTTCATCAAACCAGGAAAGATATTTTCCTTCAGTTACCTGGCAAAGCGGGATTTCTCGCACCGATTTTAGTACGCAAAGTAACAGATTCCTGCATTTACTTACTTTCCCGCACTCATTTAACTTTGTCACACTCATTTCGCACTATCTCGCACATCAGTTTTTCAACCAAATAACACAGAATAGTGAGCACGTAATACGTGTATGCTCGAAAACATGTTGGCAACACTTATCAGAGCACAGTAGTTGTTGGCAAGGAGATTTTACATACATTTTTGTGAGGCTTTCATTATGATATACTTAATACAACGATATATATTTTCCCTGTTACAACCTTTTTCACCTGTAATACGAAACCGATTATCACGATTAATGTGACATTTTAGAGCGTATGATCTAACGCACCTGTGAAAGGCAATTAGTAGAGGTAATACCAGAATATGACCCCACTTTCGGCGTTTTTGGACCTAGGACTTTTGAATTTTTTTGGTGAAAAAACACCCAAAATAGGTAAAATATGATGGTTTTACCCTATTTTTGGCGTTTTAGAGGCTATATGGGGGCATTTTTGGTTAAAAAATGTTATTAATACTGAAAAAACAAGCCTGGAAATGAAGAGCTTTTTTTGACCACTTTTTTTAAAAACCCAGCTCTCGGCACGTGAACTCGGACGCGCTCCCGACCCATAGGTTACTTCTGATCCCCAGCGATGACAAACTAAAAGTCTTATGAAAAAATGTTAGAAACAAAAATTGAGGAACATCTAATCATCTATACTTCTTCCACTGAAAGTTTTTCTCTGACCGAAAAATAAAAAAAATCCTCGCTTACTTACTTTTTCATGTTTGCTTTGAGTAACCTTTTTATATTTTCCTTAATTAATAATTATACAGTGGTATAAATTAAATTATATTTATATTGTATTAAACAGTAGTTTATGTAGAATTTTAATATATAAATTTTATGCTATAAATATTTTTTTTAGAAGCTAGACAAACATGTAAGTGATAGAAGGCGCATCACTTTGAACATCGTCATGCCCCCGACAGTGCCGTGCTGGTAATACCTAGAGTTTGAAACTATTGCTATTGTTGAAATTATATTATAACACATTTACATACAAAAGAAACTGGTAAATGGTTTTAAATTGTTTAACTTTTTATGCTGTATTATTATGTTGAAGGCTATTTTGGTTGCTGGAATTTTAGCTGTTTTGTTGTATATCAAGCCTTTTTTTTAGATATAAGTATTTTTAAACAATAAATCAGACCTTTATTTACTAATGCTATTATTATATTACAATGCATTGGCATACAAATGAAAATGGTTTGATTTATTTGTACTCATATAAAATAATATAATTCTTATGAGTTATAGGGATGTCTGGTGATTAAATCACAAATTTAGAATATTTAATAATGGACTTTTAAAATAATGGAATTAAGTATAGACTTATAACATTTTCATGATAACTGTTTGATTTATTTGTACTCATTTAAAATAATGTTAAAATAGTATTTGATTTTTATGTTGTATTATTGTTTTTTGTTGTTTAAAAGTTGGAACTAACATAGTGTACCTAAATTTAACCATTTGTCGTATCTCAAGCAGTTTTTGAGAAATAAGCATTTTAAAACGATAAAGTCACACCAGTAATGCATGGAGTTTGTAACCATTACCAACACTGATATTATGTTATAATACATTGTCATACAAATGGGACCATTTAATTTATTTACCAAATGGTATTCATATAAGTTTTAGATTTTTAAATTTTTACCCTGTATTATTGTTTTATATCAAAAGTTGAAATCAATGTAGTGTGCCTAAATATGTTTATTTACTGTATCTCAAGCAAATAGATAGAATAGGATAAAGAGGTGTT